TGGTTACGTGAGGGCTCGGTGATTCCGAGACAACAAAATAATGGAGAAATAAGCCAGCACAATGATTTAGGCGTTTCATTCAAAGTATTTTTTTCCAACGCAAAACGCTGACGATTAAAAAAGTACCATATATAAAGGGAAATGTAGCCAGAGACCACTGCGACAACTTTACAAAACAATGTCATTTAACCAGGACCAGCAGACTAACCCGTTCTGGAACAGTGCTGCTATTCAAGACTAGTGTTTATCAAAGTGTGGTCTCCGGACTACCAGGTGGTCCGCGATGGTCCTCCCAGTACTCCGTGGGGCTACTGCAAATGCAGGTTGATCCGTAAAAAATGACATTGCTTGTACCTTTTGTTTCGGAAATTAATAAATATTTAACTTATATTTAATGCAAAAACGAAGTTAGGTCAAATACCCTCATTGAACGATCCTAAACCTAATATTTAAATGCCAACCCTAAACAAGTAAACCCGTAAAAACAAAGTTTTTCACTCTAAATCCTTTATATGCGTGGCGGCTAGAGTTCTCTCGTCCTCTGGCTTGAGATGGCTGCAATATATGGGTCAGATGATTGTCTGCCAGTATTAAGCAATTGGTAATTAAATATTTAATTAGTTTTCCCTAAACAGTGTAAAATTTTGGAAAAAAAATTCACGAAAATTAATTGTCACACACGAGTCTGTGTGGAAAATGTCAGCTCGATTGGATCACGGGAAGTGGGTTAAAAAACGAGCGAAAGATTTGCACGGTCCTAAGCAAGCAAGCGAACTTAATATAAAGGATTTAAAAATATCTTCGCCTGTGGAGGACGCGGGGATCGATCCCGCGACCTTTGGCATGGGAAGCGAGGGCGCTACCAACTGCGCTACTCCACCACGGCCTGTGGAGGGGTTACGCTCTGGGCTCTTACACTCTGACGTTCAGCCAAAGCCATGAATGCGTTCTATTTGAATATATGTAAAATAAATTTTTTTTGCCTAAAAAGTGTAAAATTTTGGGAATTTTTTTTCACGAACAATAATTGTCTGGCACAACGAGTCTGTGTGGAAAATGTCAGCTCGATTGGATCACGAGAAGTGGGTTAAAAAACGACCGAAAGATTTGCACGGTCCTAAGCAAGCAAGCAAGCACGCGAACTTAATATAAAGGATTTAAAAAATAACCTTATGGCTGTGAAAAAAACTGGTTTAATGTCCCGGTAATGTTACTGATATTTAGAGACAAGTGAATGCGTTTTGTCATCAGGGGTGGAAGGGCCGGGCGGTCCGTGGAAATGTTTGCATTGGCTCAGTGGTCCGCGAGGCCAAAAACATTTTTTGAAAAACAATCTTGTGGACGAAGAAAAAAAGAAGACGCCGTCCCCCGTATGACGAACAAGCAACGAGTACAAAGATCCACAAACACAACCAAAGCATGTGGAGGAGGGGTATGCGGGAAGCCGACTTGGGGAAATTGTTTTTTTGCTTCACGAGTTTATCTCTGAATGCGGCTCTCTTCGGCAACGCGTCTACCTGCAATGAAACGAGGACTTACTCGACTGCAATTCATAATACATTAAAGGTTTGTGGGTTCGATGGCGTAAACGTAAATGTGTCGTTAAACCCGTCACCACTCGACACAGCCAATTAGTAAGGTTTGTCACGTAAACAGAACACGCCCATTCGTTGCTAGTACGACACCACCCGGTGTGTTGGGGAGTAAATCCACATTTACAATGAGTACGACTCTCTGTTTACGTGAAAAAGCTTAAATAATTGGCTGTGTGGAGTGGTGGCGGGTTTAACGACACATTTACCACGCGATCTAACCTAAAAAAACCTGTGTTGTGGATGATATTTGTCGCGAAAGCCTACGTGTCAAAACGTGTCAAACTGGACTGCCCACTTGTCTCTTACTTTACGTTGTTTTGGTGATTTTGGATATCTTAGTTCGCAATCAGAATCTTTATTTAGACTGGAGGAATCCGATGCTGATGAAACTTTTTTTTTCACAGATGTCCAGTAGGAGCGGATCACGAAGTGAATTTAGTTTTTTAAAAACTATACACCTCTTATAGTTTTTAGAAAAAGTACTAATGTTAGATTCGTATTTTGCGACTGGATAGCATTTACTTTTTGTTTTTTTGAAAGATCATTGGCGTCGGAGACCTCTTAGTCAGCGGTCTTATCATGTGGACTGTAGCACGCCATGTACGTGTGTATCGTACTTGTAGACTAGGACACGGGTTTATGTTTGTACTGCATTGTAGACGATATTGTATGCAGTTTATTGTAGATGTGTACACAGCGCGAGTACCATTTATTGTGGACTGTCGTGTGTAATATATATGTGTACTGTATTGTAGACGGTAGTGTATGTTTATGTACTTTACAGGCAACCTTCACCGAACGCTGGGGTTACGTTCTTGGAAAATGCCACTTTCGGCCAAATCGCGTTAGACAAACAATAGACCTCATTAGTAAAATAGGGTTGCGTTCCCTGGTCTGAGATTATCACCCCCTCGCTCTTTATTTAACTAATTCTACGTGATTTCCGCCCATGTTATTGTACGAAAGGATGTCGAGGCGTTGTCATTTATTGCGCGTGCATAGTACGCAATTTTTTATTTCACCTTAACACAACACCCCAACCCGTCTTCTTTATTCTTCCCGCACCGCGACACCCACGCTACTTGAATGGTCACGATTTCGCCATCGAGGCGTCCGTAACGACTGAATGTCCTCAACGAGTGGATGGCGAAGATGCGCACGGCGATATGTGTACGCGCCGTTGTGCACGTTGCCTTTGTTTCATTATAACGCAAAAAAAAACCACGCGCAAAAATGCACGCGGTAAATAATACAACCTTCTGATACTCGGTTCATTCACACCTTCCAACTAGGCCTCGGCAAGGTAAGGTGAACAGCTAAAAGGTAAAAACGAGCCTACCTTTACCCTACCTTTTACCTTACCACAATACAATCACTCTACCCTTACCTTTTACCCTTTAGCAGGTAAGGTAAAAGGTAAAAAGCAACGAGCCTACCTTTACCCTACCTTTTACCCTTACCCCATACAAATTACCAGATTACAGGGTAATTACTGGGGAACTACTACACATGAACAAGGTTTATAACGGTAAATGCTATGTAGAGCGCTTTAATCATATAGAATACTGTCGATGATTCCAATTTTACACGCTTTCTTTTAACTGACTGTTGTTGTCGTTGTTGTCGTTATTGTTGTTGTTGTATCCTCAAATCTTGAAACTCAATTTTTACCCACTTCCTAATGTGGTATCGACTGCAAACTTGGTATACTTAGGTCAAACTGATGACAATACTATATTCTATCATAAAATATATATTTTTAAACATTTTTTACATGTTATGTTTCGGCTTGGGTCTAATTGTCCACGCTCAACTGACGTTGGCTGTAATTGGCCACGGTCTTTACGTTGTGGCAAGCTTCGGGGCAAGCTTCGGGGCCACTTCCTGGAGTCGTGGAGTTCTGTCATTACTCGTACATTTCATAAAAGCGTGTTTTTAATAAAGTTTGTTTTTATATTACTTGTTAAATGGAGGCCACGGACTGCGCCACGAAGCTTTTAGCGGTAAACAAGGTACCGTGTTTACCGAGTAATACTTCCTGCTACCTTTACCCTACTCTTTACCTTAGCCCTTGGCATGTCGACATCTTTACCCTTTTACCCGGTAAAAAGGGTAAATTATCTTACCTTGCCGAGGCCTACTTCCAACGTATGCAGGCACTCTCACGGCACTTTTGGGCGAACCATGTTGAGGCGAAACACGCGTTCGATAAAGCCGCGTTGGGCAAGGGTTTCCTGTACACAGCTCAAGGCAACCTGCTGACAATTATACTGAGCACACGAGTAGCACTCGTGGTTGAAAACCCCCTGCACTGCGGAAGCCCAGGCTTCAGATGTGTTCAGGTGGCGTCTGCGATAGAGTGAGTGGCGAGGTAATCAACCCCATCGCGCCGTGCAGTGCTTGAATGGTACTGAAGCCAACCAGCTTCAACCCAGCTCCACCCGGTTTGCCACAAGACTCTGGCACTGCCTCCACATTGTATAGGGTGGTCGAGGTGTCTTTTTACCCTCATTGAACTAAAACGTACTGTTTTAGTATACCAATAGGTGTGAAAACAATTGAATAAGCAAAGGAAAAAAATGTTAGGGCAAAATTACTTGGAGGTCACAAGGCATCTGGAACTCCCTATATACTGATTCAAATAGAGTGCTGGGAAATGTTAAGACAGTAAGCATTTTTGAATTGCCAAGTGGCAGCTAATTATAGATTTAAAAAAAATAATTTTTCATAATACGGTTTTCAAATAAACACATTCCTGCGGAGGGAGCTGGTAGGAACGTTGGGTTGCTCGGTCAATGGCAGCGTGGTGTATTCCGCAAATATGCCCGACTGTGAGGGCGGGCACAAGCCGGCGTGAGTAGGTTAAACGTTGAGTTTTATAAGGGCACCACGGGGTGACCAGCCCCTCCTCTCCCCACCCAGCCCCTCCCCACCCTCCCCTCCCCACCCGGCCCTCCCCACCCAGCCCCTCCCTGCACGACGGACGGACGGACACAATAATCCCCTGTGGGCTGGTGTAACCAGAGTTTCCTACCAGTATAAAATATTTAGAAATACTTTTTTTTAAACACGCTTTAATGAAATGTACCGTACTCGTAATGGCAGAACTCCACGACTCCAGGAAGTGGCCCCGCAGCTTGCCATCGCGTTAGGGACCGTGGTGATTTATAGGCAACGCGAATTGAGCGTGGACAATTAGACCCGTACAAAAAGATTGTTTAAAAATAAAAATATATTTTTTATGATAGAATATAGTATTGTCATCAGTATGACATACCTATACCAAGTTTGCAGTCGATACGGCATTGGGAAGACAGTTGAGATAGAGTTACAAGATTTGAGGATACGACAACAGAGTGAGTTAAATAAAAGCGTGTAATAATAAAAAGACTTGTACAAATCATCTCAACAGCAACCATTTATTATGCAAATACTGTACCATGTGTCTCAACAGAAATCAACCACACCAAATCACCATATGTGATACAGTAACAAAACCTTATTTCCCAATTTTCAATGATGGATCATTAAACCTACAGTATATATATCCAGAGCAAGCCATTTGTTTTGAATGCAGTAAAAACAAACACATCCATGAAACGAAGGTAAACATTTTGTATATTAAACAATTTACACAAGTGAAAACTACAACTTTCATTTGGGATGCTGTTTGCATAAATGACATTGTCGAAGGTCAAACATAAAAAAAAACTCTGATTATTAGTTGTATTATTATCTGGGCTATCACTGGTGGCACACGCTTAAGTGTTTACTGTTGTTCCACATGGTTAATTTTGTGTTTACCTCCATTTCCTTGATTGTGTTCGTGTTATGTTTATGTTGTGTTCACCTCCATACCCGTGACAGTGTTTGTGTTGTCTCTGTGGTGTTCTCTCTGGTTCGTTTTGATTATGTTAGTTTGGTTTCTCTATTATTGTTTCCCATCTTCACTGCCGATCAGTGTCAGGCCAGCTGACAGCACCGTGCCGATGTCCAGTCGATCCCACCGCACTGGCAGTGACACGTGCTGTCGTTTGGGATGTCCCACGAACCACACGCCATTCCACATGAACACGACACTACTATGTACCCTGCGGGGGAACAATGATAGATGCGATCACAGTGCACATTATGGGGTGATGCCATCGGAGGTGACGTCATGAACATTGAATTGAAAACCATCTTCAGAATAACCAGAATGTTGTGCATTGAGACTTTGTTCTTATGAAAAGAGACATGTACACAACAGCAAGTGTTTACAATGATAGTAAAATGTTCGGTTTGTTTAAACTGTAAGGGCACTATTGCTAAAAACAATAATAACCAATCACGTAAAATTGTGGAAATGTATTATCATCGATAGTTCCTTATCTCACAAAACTATGGAACTGTGAGGATCACTTGGTACCATGAAGACAGAATTGACAGTAAGTTTCACCTTACGAAGAGCATTAAAACCCAACACATAATCCGTTAACATTAACATGCTTTTTCCAGGGAAAATATCCTAAAGAAATTCACCAAATCAATTCCTTCTAGATTTGGAACTTTCGTGACAGCAATGATTCATACTCTTTGTTTTTTTCGGTAAAGTCACGTAGGTAAAAAACTAAATAAAATAAATGAAAACAACTAAATTAAATCACGACGTTTCGGGCGCAACACAAGCGTCCTTCTTCAGCGAAAGCACAACCGCTTAAGTGTGTCTAAGAGATGGCTGTGACGAGGAATTATAAAGTCACGGGGGATGGAGGGAGGGAAGGGGCCATGGTGAGTGTGTGGGCGGACTGTGGACTGGGAGGCAACGATGTGAGGAACGGCGTGGGCGCTTGGAGACAACGTATGGAGTTCAAACTGAAGCTTTGTGATGCAGGGGGCGGAAGTAGATAAGAAAGCTAAGATTAAGCAGCCTTTTGTTATGCTGCCGGGGAGGGTAAATTAGAAATGCGCAAGCTGAAAAAACAACGTGTGGTAATGGTGGAGGTAGTGTGTGAAGCTGGGGGTAACAGACTGGGAATATGGATATGATTATGAAAATAAATCTAAATTGGCTGTCTAGCAGTAAACTGCACGGCAGCTAAAGTTTTAACTTCGTTAATTACATCCTTTCAATGATTGCTCAATTTGAATCCATCATCTCGGTTGAAGTTATGTCTATGTTTGTATATCTGGATGGCTTCATGGACAAATCTTTGGTAGTATCCACAGGAGGATTGCAGAGTACCTTGGTATCGGAGAACACAATGTCATGAGAACCAGCAGTATTATAACAGTGGTCAAGCTACGGCCGAAGAATTCGTCCTGCCGTGCTTCAAATCCGACTTGTGCTCGCGAATGCGATCAGAAATGTCGTTTCGTTTCCCCGATATAACAATCACCACAGGTGCAACTCAGTTTGTAGACACCAGGGTACTGTAAGTCAGGAATGACATCCTTTACGGATGGGATCAGATCACGGATCTTGTGTAGTGTACTGAATCGGACCTGGATCAATTCCTGCTGATTGAATCAAACCATCGCCTGTATGCAGAGTCGATGGGTCACAAGGTCACTTGCCGCGAGGATATTCAACCACGTGATGTTCCACAGAGTCCCCCCCACACACACAAACACACATCCCTCTCACCTGTGGGGCAACTCGCGGTGGCACCTCTGCTGGAGACGTTAGTGCAGGAGATGCGGTTCGTTGCAGCTGGAGTGCCAGGACTCCCAGGGGGTCCAGGAGGACCAGTGTTGCCTGGTTCCCCTCTCAAGCCGTTGTTACCAGAGGGACCAGCTGGTCCAGCAGGTCCAGGGCTCCCAGCTGGGCCAGGTGAACCAGCTGGGCCCAGTGGTCCAGCAGGACCGACACTGCCCGGGTTGCCTGGCACACCTACAATCAGGACACACCGGCATTGTCCGGGTAAAGTGACCATAGTTTTCAATGGCAACAGGCCATGATAATAACAGTGGCTTTCATTTATGAAAGATGTTGAAGATTTTTTTTTTAAATCCACTTTACAGTAGATGAAGCACTTAGGTAAAATCTAACAAAATGTAATTCCTGGTTGCAGAAGAAAATTAACGATTTGTGTCCGTGCAAACTAGCCCATTGGCAGGCATGCTAACTCTGAGAATATGCCAGGAAATTGAAATAATATGGAAAAGTATAACTGCGTTCAAATGAGCATGTTGTAAAGATAATGTTTGTTGATCCACGGGAGAAAGGTTTTACCAATTCATCTAACTGTAACTGAAAACTCCCAATATATTACCTCGTGATCCATCCTTTCCACGAAATCCTCGTGGGCCTGGGGATCCGAAACAAATGCTGCACACACAGGCAGGTGGAGAAATAAGATGGAACAGTTTTCCCTTCATCGGTGTAATGAACGTTAATATGCGAGTGCCATATCTTAAAATGCTGAATTAGCTTCATTTTTCGCCTCGGTATCCATCCTAATTGAGGATATTTAGGATGTGTTTCAGCTTCATAGAATAACATTTTGTGAGTTATTTTTTTTTTTCTTAAGGATGTTCACTTAAAGACATCTGAAAAGTGAATGATACAAAATGTTTAATATGTACTCAGGTACTGTACTGAATATTAGAACTTAAAAAGTAACACGTTTACCATCTATAGAGCGTAAAATACAGGATGGTCAGCTGACATTGACAAATCCTTTTTAAACTGTACACAAAACAAAATAAAATACAGTAATGCCAGTTGTACCATTATTCATACCCAAACAATGGTTTACATCAAATGTCAATGAGAAAAGTGCTTCATATTATTCAGTTCTATACAATTACTATTTATAATGCAATTACAAGTTGTACCATTAGTCACATCCAACACTTTATTTGCTCTAAGATACTCTTATGGAAAACATGGCCATATCAAATCTAATTAAAAACAGTGCTTCCATTTTCCGATTCTCATTACCTGCAGCTTTTGGGAAAGAGTTCTTCCAGTTCATTCTTTTCAAAAAGCAAAAAAACACATTGTGAAGTTACGCGAATAATCAAGTACCGTAGTCTATTTATGCTTAATTTGATTCAGTGAAAAATTAAGCAGTTATCCAAATTCTCAAGAACCAAGGTCTTTCATCATGGGACCTCCTTTGCCAGTACCAAAATATGAGAATAGGGTTTCCCCTTTTTTCTGTCAACAAAACAGGTGTTAAGATACGCTCGATCTTGGAAAGGTTTGAACATCTTAACACCTATTTTGTTGCCATAAAAAAGAGGAAAATCTATTCTCAAACCAAGGTCTTGTTACTCAGTACAGTAAGGTATTCAATACATCAGGTCAAATGTAGTTCCTGGATAAGCAAGCATAACAAACAGCTTCAATGCCCACATCATTTCACAGAAGACACGGTTAAGTCAGTCGAGATTAGTTTAAGTATAGTACACATGCCGCATTGAATATTGTTATTGGGATACAAATACTGCATGTGATTAAAAAAAATGAGTACATCGTAGGCCACAGTATTAATTACGTAATATTCTCTACACACACTCGTTTAATGTGCAGATTGAAAGTCTTCACCATACCTCTTCTTCATGGGAATCATTGCTGTTAAAAGGACCGGCATGCGTCGGATGAAAGACGAGGAGCCAGACTGCCAGGCTGCACAATAACTTCATGTTTGCACTACACGATAGGAAACTAAAATGATTGTGACTATTGAGTCTGCAGACGAGCATTTAAAGGGACAGCAATGAGGAAATCCAATCTATCCATATACGTGGGAGGATATATGATATGGTTCAGATAGGGCTAAGGATAGTCGATTAGATCTTGCCAATCCCTACAAAGGAGTGTTTCAGGCTTATCTTGTTGTGTAGGACATTGGGTAACAAAATCATACCACATCGAGAAACTGACTACGAACCCTCCTTTGAACTCTCGCCAACGAGGGTGAGGAGGGGCTGGGTGGGCTGGGTGGGGAGGGGAGGGTGGGGAGGGGCTGGGTGGGCGGTGGGAGGGGTGGGGCTGGTCACCCCTTGGTGCCCTTATAAAACTCAACGTTGAACCTACTCACGCCGGCTTGTGCCCGCCCTCACATATTTGCGGAATACACCACGCCGCCGTTGACTCTGGCCATTGACTGAGCAACCCAACGTTCCTACCAGCTCCCTCCGCAGGAATGTTTCTTGGACGGGAGACTACCAGATATTGTAGCGTTTGCGTGTCTCAAGGAGGCGCTAATTACTCCACGTTTCACACGCACGAAGCCTAACTGGCATTTCAATGTCTGTAGGGGGCACTGCTACTCGGGGTCAAACTTTTGACTACTTGGGATTCAGAATTGGAATTCACCAGGTTTTTGTTTGCTTAGAGTTCTATGTTACATTGCAAAGCCACGATATACATGACAGTGGCTTGTGGGGAGGCCTTCATCCGGCAGTGGATTGACCAAGAGCTGGTAAACAAATGTAACACGCTCACCCAGAGTTGACAGTGCCCCCCACAGACTTAAATATGCAAGTTCCAGAGCGGAGCTGGCGGGTTCTCGACTCTAGGGGGCACCGCTATCTCGGCCTTCGAGCTGCACCCACGACGCGCCTGGTCATTCCGTGTCGTGCATTGACGAGTTTTGTGCTTCACTCAGACCCACAGCTAACAGAGGTTGGGGGGGGGGGGGAGCTCTTGTCTATGAACATCCCGCCGTTCACCAGAGTTCACTGACTGCTGATGAGACACCGATTGTCGAAACCAGCCCAGAGAGTTTTTTCTTCCTGTGTTTGGTCAATGCAGATTAAACCACTCACTCTGAGGTCGCGTGCTGATGGGATGTGTCAAAAATATACTTTTATTTTTTAGGATTTCGCCTTGCTAAGTGGCTTGCTAACAAGAATACATCTCCCCACAATGCATTGTACCAGCAGCATCTCGTAATTTAACAATTAGTATGATTTAGGAGTAACGCTCTTTGATCAAATGAAGGATGTTGAATCAATCGCGACCAATAGTTGAACTATTATTAAGCCAATTCAAAAACTGATCTTCTAGCCTGAATACATTAAACGTTGTATTCTCATTCGGTCCGATGGAGTAAATAAGTGCAAGGCACCAACTCTAAATTCAGTGGGCAGTGCACAACACCCGCTTGTCGCACCCCTACTTCTATGTATAGAGATTCCCCACCTCACGAACCCCCAGCGATCAGCGTGGACGCGCGGTCAAATAAGCCCCATTACCCACTCGGCATGTGGAGGCCCTCATCCAGCAGTGGATTGACAGAGGGCTGTGAACGTTCAATCAGGCAGCTCTAAATACATGTTTTATCCGTGCGCCAGAAATAAAAGTCGGGTCGTGAACTGAAACTGACGATATATGGTTAACAAAAACTATATCCGGCGTGGTTTTGGCAGGCTTTCATCCAGCAGTGGAAGCACAAAGGCAGTAAAGTGAAGCTGTTGTCAGCTACTAGCCGAGGTAGCGGTGCCCCCTAGAGACGAGAACCCGCCAGCCCCGCTGTGCGTGAGCGACACGCGGGGTAGACAGCGCTCCCCCTGCCGACGGAAAGAGGTAAAAGCCGAGAACAAAAAGCCTACAATACCTGGTATTCCCAGGCGGTCTCCTATCCAAGTACTAACCAGGCTCGAACCTGCTTAGCGTCTGAGATTCAGGGAAATATGGTCGTAGGCGATAGCTGAAGGGACATTTAGTACACTTATCTCTAACTTTAGACCTTAAAACGTTCGTGACTGCAGGAATTCATATTTTATAGGTTCTTTCGGTAAAGTCACATCGATAGAAACAATTAAGTGAATAAAAATATTGCTTGTTTTGCGATCGAAACGTCGTGATATTTTATTCAGTTTATTATTTATTATTATTCTATCTCGAACGTCAACTCTTACTGCTGAAGATATTTTCATCGCGAGTGAGTTTCTCCCAAATAACTCCAGCTAGAAATCACCACCAACTGTGCAGTGAAGCTGCTGAGCTAAGATCCGATCACAGGCACGGCTAACATCGGTGGTGTCGAGTGATGTCCGAACCAGGTCAGCCTCTCTCTCCACCCCCACCACTTCACCACCAACCCGCATCGTCCACCAGCGTGGTGAAGTATGCTCAATCAACCCCCGAGATAGGACAGACACGGTTTGTGGATGTCTTCATCCATAAGTGGATTAACACAGTCTGTACGTTATGGTTTATATACATCCACACAAATACTGTATGTAAATGATCACAACTCTTTCTCTGAGATAGATGCTCAACTAAGAGGCTGCTCCACAGGATCGGATCACTTGGTTCTGCACCGAGATGTCTCGAGTTGAACTCCGCCGTGAAAGCGATGACGATCCGCAGGCGGCGCCTTCACACCGCGGGGAAGTTGAATTATTTCATTCGAAGATGAGTGACAGTAAGAGACAAGTTCACTTAACACCCTTAACCTCGGTGTTGGACCAGATGACGCCAAAAGGCGCACTTTTGGCGTCATCTGGTCCAACACCATGTGAGACTAGGCTCTAAGGAAACCTGTCTCGGGTGTGGACCAATCAACTTCAAGGACAGTGCATACATGATCAGAGTTATGTTTTTTGTTTGCATTATGACTGCAGGTATTGTGGTCTATGCAAACATGACTCCTTGTAAAAAAGGTGTCAGTTTTGTTGCCAGATAAAAGGGTAAAAAAATCAATTATCAGACTAATACATGTGTAGTGGCTTGAGATACGCGTCACGCGCTGGGTCGGTATGCGCGCACGCGGCAGGACAGTGAGGGAAAATGAGGACACAGGGCGCTTATTGGCTGGCCGTTGTTGTTGTTGTTGTCCAAATTAAGGTGGCGTGATGGTTAAGGGTGGTCGCAGGTGGCCGGGGGTAATTAAGGGTGCAGGGCGTTGATTGGACGAGAGGGGCTGTTGTCCGGAGATTGGCTCCGGTGTATCTGGAAAAACAACACCACGTGGCAGCGGGGGCTGGGGGCGAGTGGCGTCGCGGGGGATGACCTGATTAATTAGGGGTTAATTGGTTCGGGGATAAAGTCAGGGGTTGTGGAGTGAGACAGGAGTTCGTGCCTGGGAGGAGAGACAGATGGAGAGACGGAGCAGCAGAGTGAGTATAGCGTAGGGTAGCAGTGGAGAGAGTGAGTATAGTGTAGGGTAGCAGCGGAGTAGCGTAGAGTATCAGAGAGATGACAGAGAATAGGAAGCGGCTGGAGCGTGGAAGGAGAATGGGGTTAGTTACGACGGAGTGGGACGGCGGAGCTGATAGAGCAGCCGAGCTGGAGAGAGAGAGAGTGGAGAGGAGAGTCGACGGAGGAGTAGAAGCGAGCGAGGCCAGAGGAGCGCGGCGAGCGAGCGGAGAAACATTGACCGGTGTTGACGAAGAGTTGTGGGTCGGTGTGAGCGGAGGAACATTGAGCGGTGTTGGCGGGAGAGATGTGGAACTATATACGTGGAATAAAGTAACGAGGAAAGACCAGAAGCTGTCGTGTCAGTTCGAGCACTACACATGGTTTATACAGGGAGGAACAATGTTCCACACTGCCCACCAGGGATTATTTAGCTATCTGTCTGTCTGTCGTGCATAAATAAATATATTATACACACAGCTCTTTGATTGGTGGAGACCTACTGCCGGGTACGGAGAGGGGAGGTGCCTAAGGGAGGAGGGCCAGGGGAGGGGCCTAAGGAAGGGGGGAGTCAGGTAAACAGCTCTTTGATTGGTGGAGATCTACTGCCGGGTACGGAGAGGGGAGGTGCCTAAGGGAGGAGGGTCAGGGGAGGGGCCTAAGGAAGGGGGGGAGTCAGGAGAGGGGCCTGAGGGGGGGGGGGGGTTCAGGGGAGGGGCCTGAGGGGGGTGTCAGCGGAGGGGCCTGAGGGAGGGGGGGGTCATTGGAGGGGCCTAAGGATATGGGGGGGGGGGGGTGCTCAGGGGAGGGGCCTAACAGAAGGGGGGTCAGGGGAGGGGCCTAAGGGAAGGGGGGTCAGGGGAGGGGCCTGAGGATACGGGGGGGGGGGGTGGTCAGGGGAGGGACCTAAGGGAAAAGGGGTCAGGGGAGGGGCCTAAGGGAGGGGGGGGGGGACGATAGTTAAGGGGGCTGTCTGCCTGGCTACCTAAAGTCAAGTTATCTTTTATACATACAGGTAGGAACAACAGGTTCCACACTGCCCACCAGGGATTATTTGTCTGTCTGTCGTGCACGAATGCGCTGTCCAACCAAGTTCCTACCTGCCCACTCCGAAGGAACGTGTTGCTTGTACTGCATTGTAGACTGTTTTTCATAATAAAGGTTTTTGGATTTGGATCGCGTTATTTATAAATGTGGTGCAACCCTCCACCACCATACACAGCCAATCGGTAAAAATGTGGCACATTGACAAAAGACAAATAGTTCACTACTTTAGCCCACCGGTGTGTTGAGTGGATCCACAACATTTACAAATTAGGTACGACATTTTGCTGGAAATTACATCCAGCTTCTTCGTGCGATTTGCCAGAATAGTGTAGCAATCCACCTGCTTCCGGTCTTAAATCGTACAGGATGCCGTCATCATTGTTGAACCCTATCAGGATTCAAAATCAGAGGCGGAGGTGGGTGTGGGGGTGTATGCAATTGTGTAACAGATCAGTAAACAGCCACTTAGCATGTGACTCACCTGAAAGGAATTGAAATAAGTACTGTAATCATTACTTAATAATACGCTTCCAGGCTGCGCTGAGACTTCAGCCATCACAGTGATTGAAATGATTTGAATTATTCTCCTTTTCAATTGGTTATCTAACTAATCTCCAGTAATAATTCGTTCTGCATAATACTTCGACGTTATGAAAATAAATCTAATGTCCTTGTTGACAAGCATGCGCTGCCACTTTGG